TGGGTCAGCATGGATAAACCCAGCTTAGGTTTCCATCTTTCCTATTGTGCTGGATTACAAGAACTTCCCCTCATAGCTGCATCATCTGGGATCTCTTCACTCCAGAGGAGGCTCGTATTCCCAGGAAGGTTCTGCCTAAAGGAGACACCTATAGCTGAAGGTCCATTCTACCTTTTTTGCATCCCTCCTACCTTGTAAAAGAATTCATCCTTAGGAGAGAACCACAGGGAAATTCTGGCCTGAGCCCACAGCTGTTGCCTCCCAGATGAGACCAGTGCCCACTTCTGCCATCCTTCCCTGGTAAGCATCCCAGCTAGAATGGGACAAGGAAACCAAGCCTGAGTCAACCTTTTACTAATCTGCTGCTACTTCCTGAGGGATCACCACACAAGGGGACAAGGCATTGGTAGCCGTTGGGAGAACAAGAGATTGATGAGCTGGATCTTCAAAGTCAAGGGGAATTTTAAAGGCTGAGGGAAGAATATTCCAAGCAAAGGGAACAGTGTAAAGGTACTGTGGCCTAAAAAACGTGCCATGGAGTGTGTTCGTTGGTTCTCCAGGTGTATGGGAGACACAGCTGATAAGATTGTATAGGTAACGTGGAACCCAAATGACCGCTGAACAGCTTGGAGTTTTTGTTTTTCTGTTTTAAGGAAAAGGTGATTTAAAAGTACATTCCTGAGAGGTTAGGAACAGGCCTGAGTCGACAGAGAAAGAGTGGCTCAAAAGGCCAAAAGCTTGGACTTTTATCATTTGGAAAATGGGAGAACACTAGGATTTTAAGCAGCAGAACCCCCTGGGATAGTTGCAAAATCCTTGGAGATGACATACTGGAGAGGCAAGATCCTAGCTACCTACTGCCCTGGCTTCAGCCTGGTTAAGAACCAGGTCTCATAAGCCCCAATGATATTACCTCCTTCCCTGGAGGAAGGTACTGGGGCCTTGTTAGGCAGTTCCAGCTAATATATACTCCCCAGCAGCTGAGCAGCAAACAGCCAAATGAGTAAGTGGGACAGGCCTGGGAAGAAGGTAAGAGACAGAGGGAGAGGGCCTGGCCTGTCTATAACACAAGCCCTCCAACAGATTGTCTAGAGCATATGGGAAGGACAAGGGTGAAAGCCTACATTTCCCTGGGCTCGGGAGTTCTAAGGATTCTGATCTCCCTTTCCTAGCCCCAAACACAACGTACTGACCAGGTGTCGCCATGTCATAATAGGGGTGTATCTTCTGGCTTCTGGCCCTGGACTTGCCCAGATACCACTGTTCAGCCTCTTACTAGGAATCTCTAGATCTTTAGACTTAGCTGTTCTGTCTCCAGTTTTCATTTGGACTTGCTTGTGGACAGTCATCCAGGTGCCACCTGGCTGCCCCATGCTCACTCTATTGGATTCACCGGTGATAGGGGTGGAGGCTCCAGTTTCTATCCAGTAACCCCAATCTGCAGCACACCTTCGCTGGTGACCCAGCCAAGTGTGCTGGAGGCTCTGACTGGCCACGTGGCCTAGGGGCAAGGAGGGAAGGATGACCCCTGAGGGTGAAAACAGGCCCAGGATGGCAGCAGCAGCTGCTCCCCAGCCATGAGCTCCATTCTGTTGGGCAAACAGCCAACAGGTCTGGGAAAGAAATCTAAGGTCCACATGATGCCTTAAGATGATTTTCTTGATTTTCCATTTAGATTTGATTTATTAATTTCTTTACCCTTTAGCATAAAGCAATTATCAGCTTAAGATTTACACACACATACCCATTGGGCAGGGAGCACACAGTGAAAAAACTATCTGGGGGGTTGGCAGGTGGTGTGCTGGTTAAGGGTGCTGGACTCCTACATGGCTGACTGCAGTTCCAGTCCATGGACCAGGTGCCTTGCTTTCTCACCTCCCTCTCTCTTGCTCATTCTCTCTCCTTCTCTGGTCAAATATATTTATAATTTATATAT